AAAGCAGATTGAGGCAGAAATAAAAATATTCTCCATTTCCATCAGAAAAACTACACAATTCTTCTCCTTCCACAGCAGTTGGGAGACAAAGGAAAAAAAATAAGAGATTTAGAACTGGAAAAAGTAGAGCATGTGGAATTCAAGAACACAACATACAAAAAAGTCTAGGGAGATTATTTATCCATTCAGAAAAAGAGGAAAATATCTGGAAGTAAGTGGGGAGGAAAAGATGAATTGGACGGGTACATAGAGCAGACAGTAATACTTGTGTTGCTCTGGGAGGAAGAAAGGGGCTTAAATCAAAGCACCACTAAACAAGAGATCACACATATTTTTCACCTTCTCGGGAATATCAGTGGTGGAAAAGCTCTGCCTATAATGGAAAAAGCAGACTTCAAATTGCAAGTGATTATGGAGGGAAGAATCCACTGCGGAGAAAAGCACATACCTCTGAGGACTGATAGCAAGGAGAAGCTATATGATTGTCCAGATTGTGGGAAACATTTCATTGGATATTCCCACCTTGTAAGGCACCTGAGGACTCATGCAGGAAAGAAAACTTTTGAATGTACTGATTGTGGGAAAAGGTTCAGACAAAATTATGACTTGGTGATACACCAGAGGACTCACACAGGAGAGAAACCCTTTGAATGTCCTGTTTGCGGGAAATGTTTCAGTCACAATTCCAGCCTGGTAAACCACCAGAGGATTCACACAGGAGAGAAACCCTTTGAATGTCCTATTTGTGGGAGAGGTTTCAGTGAATATTACAGCCTGGTAAAACACCAAAGGACTCACACAGGAGAGAAGCCCTTTGAATGTCCTGTTTGCGGGAAATGTTTCAGTCAGAATTCCAACCTGGTGAACCATCAGAGGACTCACACGGGAGAAAAACCCTTTGAATGTCCTGATTGTGGGAAACGTTTCAGACAAAATTATGACCTGATGAAACACCAGAGGACTCATACAGGAGAGAAACCCTTTGAATGTCCTGATTGTGGGAAAAGTTTCAGTCAGAATTCTCACCTTGCAAGACATCAGAGAACTCACACAGGAGAGAAACCTTTTGAATGTCCCATTTGTGGGAAATGTTTCAGTCAGAATTCTGATCTGGTGAAACACCAAATGACTCACACAGGAGAGAAACCCTTTGAATGTCCTGTTTGCGGAAAAGGATTCAGTCAGAATTCCAACCGGGTAAACCACCAGAAGACTCATACAGTTGAGAAACACTTTGTATGTCCTGTGTGTGGGAAAAGTTTCAGTCAGAATTCACACCTAGTGAACCATCAGAGGACTCACACAGGAGAGAAACCCTTTGAATGTTCTGATTGTGGGAAAAGTTTCAGTTGGAATTCCAGTCTTCTGAACCATCAGAGGATTCACACAGAAGATAAGCCCTTTGAAAGTTCCAATTGTGGGAAAAGTTTCATTCGGAATTCTGACATGGTGAACCATCAGAGGACTCACACAGGAGAGAAACCCATTGAATGTCCTGTTTGCGGGAAAAGTTTCAGTCAGAATTCTCACCTGGTGAACCATCAGAGGACTCACACAGGAGAGAAACCCTTTGAATGTCGTGATTGTGGAAAATGTTTCAGTTACAATTCCAATTTGGTAAGACACCAGAGAATTCACAAAAGAGAGAAACCCTTTGAATGTGTACTATTTGGGGAAAGTTTCAATGAGAATTCTTCCCCGGAGAAGACTCATACAGGAGAGAAACCTTTTGAGTAACCTGATTGTGGGTATATTTTTGTCAGAATTCTCACCTGGTGAAACACCAGGACTCACACAGGAGAGAAACACTTTGTATGTCCTATTTGTGGCAAAATTTTCTTTCAGAATGTGAACCTGGTGATATACTGGAGGATACACAGAAGAGACAAATCTGTCTGTGGATGATGCTTCTGGCATTATTTGTTCCTTATTGAGGGAAAAGTTGATGACTTTAGGGAAGGCTTGAATTTCATTTCTCGTCTCATTAGGAGTGTAGGTGAAAACATACCTCAGAATTAGATTTGTAAGTGGAGAAAAAGGAAAATAGAAAAGGGCTACCAGTTTCTCATTATTAGAAGCAATTTCATTTTTGCAGAAGTAGTAGAATTCCTCAAAAAGGCTTTTGGGTGGTGTTTTTTGTATATTGGTTATGGAATTCCCACACATGGAATTTCTGTCTTCTACCTTGGTGTCCTCCATATTTTGAGCCTCAGAATTACCCAGCCAACATAGAAGTAGTCCTCTAAATACAACTGTAATGGGGACTGCCAGTTTCGGTTACATGTTGCAGTGGTTGTTAATTGAGATTACTTTGCTTAACTACCCATCCCCATCCCCTTCTCTCCCTGATGAAGCTGTTAAACAAATGCTCAAGTCACTAAGCAGAACAGTGACCACCTCAGGGTTGTGGGAATCTCTTGGAGGTCTAGCCTCCACTAGGCATTTTTCTGTTCCCATTGGGTCCCTGAAATTGTTAGGCCTGACTCCCAACCCACCAGGCATCACAGCCTCTTCGTTCTCCATACCTTTTGAAGATCTCTGAACTTCATGTTGGTGAAGGAAGGCAAGACATGCGTTTGTGGGCTTCATGATTGTGTCATGGAAGCAGCCGTTATTTTGAATGTGCCTGGGATTCATGCCTGGGTCATGTGGCGGACTTGTGGAAGCAACTGCCATATTGTCATGCTTGCCTCTGTGTCAAAATGGTGGCTGCTTCTGGATCATTGTCACTAGGACAAAGTATACTATTTTGCTCCCTTTATACTTTGTAGACTGTCTTAAGGAATTGTGGGTGCACTGAAAATGGAGCTGCCTCTGGGAAATCTCCAAAAGGATAGGCCAAGTGTCCCCGGGCCATATGATAAGTACCACTTTTATCAGTATTGTGCTGTATGGTGCTGCACCTGCTGAAAAAAGCCAACGCAGTCCCAGGCTGCATCAACAGAGACATAGTGTCAAGACAAGAAGAAGTGATAGAGTTGCTTTATATTGTGCTGGTGAAAGCAGATCTAGAATAGTGTGTTCAGTTCTGGTCGCCATGCTACAACCAACCCCACGTGTCTATAATTCTATGAATTTAGATGCAGTTTAGAAAATAAATCCACACTAGCACCATAAACATGCTTGTGGTACAGGTCCTTTTTTAAAAAATATTATTTTATTCAAAATATTAATATACAGTACAAACTCCAAAACCAAAGAATTTTTTTCAAAAGCAAAACAAGAATTGAAAAAACAAATAAAAAGAAAAAAATGTACATTACAAAAGAGAAAAACAGATTTACTTTTATTATCCCCCCCCCCAGAATATTCATAAGCATATTGGCACAATATTAGTTTCCTCCCCTTTTGAAGCAGGCCCAAAATTTGTAAAATTCTACCTCTATTTACAACCAATTCGGCAATCTATGATCTATAAAGGCATTGTAATTAACAGGTGAACCAACAACAAAGTTAAACATCAAAGCACTTTGTTAACAATCTACTATTCGGTTTAATTTGTATAAAGTTTACAAGGGCTTTTTATTTATCACAAATCACCAGAATCATCATTCTCTAATTTGTCTGGGATAATATATCTTTGTTTGATTCTTATTAATAAAACTTTTTGTTAAAATTTAAGTTGAGAACAATAAGACAACAGTTGTGTCTTATTCCCCCAAATCCTAAAACCTCTTGGTCGATCCATTTTCCAAATGGTTTTCCAGTTAGACATGGTTAAGTCCATTCTCCAGTCTTCTTACGAAAGTTCAGTTCATCATGAATCGAGTCTATTAATTCCAAATCTGTAGGAGGAGCCACATCCATTTCAGCCTTCTCCAAAGAAACCTGCAATTTCCAAACCATGTTGAGGGGTCTTTTAAGAAGCGACTGTGCTCCCTATGGGAGCTTCTTGGAAAGAGCTCAGGCTCACAAAGCCATTCATTTGTGTGCTCTCATAATCCCAAACTCCTCCATGATTCCCAGAGGACAGGGACCTCCCAGAGCAGAAATGTTTTTTTTTCTTACCAAGATCTTTTACATCCATCTGGGTAATCCACAGATAGATAAGAATAGAATTCTTTCCTCCCTATGATGTTTCCAGCAAATGACATCCACTGGAAATGGATTTATTTCCTGGGTGTAATGGAGACAGTTCTCTGTCAGGGAATTATACTGCAAGTTTCCAAATGAAATCAGAGAGACCGAGGCAAATTTTTAGTTTTATATAAATAAATAAATTTAACATATTTACAGCAAACAAGATGGTCAGGAACACAGAAACATCCTGAGGTAAATCCAAATAGGATACAGAGCACACAGAAGAAAAAAAGCGGGAAAAATGGGAAACTCCCCCTTTACACCCACAGCAACCAGTCATAGCCATAAATTGCCTCATGCAGGATCCAGCACTCTCCAACCAATCAACTTGGAGCTGCCTGTTCTTGCCCATTGTACAATTGTACTGTTCCAGCTACTACATTTAATAGCGTAATACCCCTCTAATTTATAGCTGTACAGCAATGAAACCAAATTATTTCACAAGGTCTTTGTGTTTTTTGTATACTTAATAGTTTTGTCATTAGGTCAGATAAATTACTGTATTTTCTGCTGGACTATAAATTATGTCCATTACATTTTCTTTCCCTGCTTCCCTGACGTTACATTATTTTATGTCAACATACTGGTATAGCTCCTTTTAATTCAATATCCAAATCCTTTGCTAACTGTATGTATGTATGTTATTCAGCATCGTTTGGGTGTTTTCCCATGTCATCATAATTGTGCTTTTAAAGTTGCAGCAACGTTTCAGCAGAATCTCATCTGCCATCATCAGGCTTGTGTATTGTGTTCGTCTGTGAATCAGACTTTTACAGTTGTTTCAGTTTTAAATTTGGGGCTAGCCTACTGCTGTGCCAGAATGTTTTTTTCTTCATCCTGATTGGTTGGGAGTCCTGGTCTGTGTTTATTGGTCTTGGAGTTTGCTGTGTTCTGCTTGATTGGTGTTTCTAATACCTTCTGTCTGTTTTGTAGCTTTTTTTGATTGGCTGGCAACATTGTGTTTCCTGTATTGGAGGCTTTTAGTGCAGCTTGGCTTCCGGTAAAAGGACGGCTATCATTTATTAGGAAGCTAGGTTTCATCTGGGTTCCTGGTTGGGGTGTGTTTGGCCTGAAGGTATGGGGGGGGGTGTCTGTTTGTGCCCAGGTGTTTGCTTGGCTTGTGGTGTGGAGATTTTGTTTGTGAGTGCAGGCTTCCAGATACTTGACAGTCTGTTGGAGTCATCTCTTCTATTCATGCTTTCACGTCTTTTTTCAATCTCTATGGTTTCTCTGATAATGCTGTAGCTGGGTTTTTCTATAGTGGCTAGGGTTTTGGTGCCATTGAAGTTGATGCTATGACCTTTCATGTGTTGGACTAGTGAGGAAGTGTGTTCCAGCTTTTTTACTGCATTTTTGTGTTCATCCAGGCGGGTACTTATTCTTCTGGTCTGTCCAATGTATGTGGCAGGGCATGATGCGCAGGGGACTTCATATATGCCTTGGCTTTCCAGGTCACTTTTATCTTTGGGGTTTCTTAGGATGGCTGCTATCTTTCTGTCTGTTTTGAAGACAGTCTTGATGTGATGCCTGTGTAGTATCTTACTGATTTTGTCAGTAGTGCCTCTTATGTAGGGCAGGACAGCTGTTCCCTAGGTCTGTTCATCTTCTAGGTCTCCACTATGTCTCAGTGTGTTTTTGTGGATCAAGCCAGTGATTTTGCTTTTGTGGAAGCCGTTGGCTGTCAGTACTTTAGT